ACTTTGGGATAAGCCTACTACAATAAGTTGTAAGACTGCCTCATTTGATACATGTATAAACTAGAAAGGCCAATATTTGCTTTGGAGCAAATACAGCGATGGGTTCACCACATTTTACGACATGGCAGGGAAAGAATGAGAAACACAAGGGAAAACAATGATTTACATTGATATAACTATAATATGAAGTAACATACAACTAAAACAACAGTTGGATAGCTATTCCTTACATTATTGGTTAGGATTTTTAATTGCATAATGCAAACTGTTGATTTTCAAAATAAAAAAAAACGTTACATGCCCCGCATTCCAATGCTGGAGTCAGGAAAGCTTGAAATACCTACCAAAACACTTGAATACAGACATACTGTCAGTATGGAAATGCTCTGTGCAGGTGTTAATCAAGTTAAATCCCAACAGCCAATCAGCAAGAAATGCTCTGTGCAGGTGGAAATGCTCTGTGCAGGTTTTAATCAAGTTAAATCCCAACAGCCAATCAGCAAGAAGAATAGAGGAAAGCTGCATGCCTATTGGTTGATGCCCTGCATTCCATTGTGATGACTCATGCCCAACTGTGGTACACTAACACAGTAATACATTTGCTATAACACAGCCAAAAAACTCAAATAAAACCATTATAAAAGCCTGTATCACAAAAATTTAAAAAACACCTGGGGGTATTTGCCCACTGTACCTCCATACCAAATTTCAGGACCTTAGGCCCTAAAATGAAGAAGCTGAATCCATTTTAAAAAATGGCAGGAGAAGAAGGAGAAGGAGAAGGAGAAGAAACACCAGAAAAAGCAATATGGTTTCACCACACCCACTTCGTGGTGTGGTGAACCCATAAAAAAACTAGAAAGGCCAATATTTGCTTTGGAGCAAATACAGCGATGGGTTCACCACATTTTAGCACATGGCAGGGAAAGAATGAGAAACACAAGGGAAAACAATGATTTACATTGATATAACTATAATATGAAGTAAAATACAACTAAAACAAACAGTTGGATAAGCTATTCCCTACTTTATTGGTTAGGATT